TTGCAGCCATCATTGTTGTTTGGCAGGCCCAGGCTGGATTCGAACCTGCCACCTTAGGTGTATGTGGCTGGCGCCTTAGCCACTTGAGCCATAGGTGCCGAGCCTATTTTTATGTTCTTATTGGCTAACTCTAGTTGTCTTTTGATCTGCTTTTATTGACTATTTTGACTTCATTATTGGTTATTTTTCCATGCTTTTTTGTGTCTAGTAATTTTTGCTACATTCTTGACACTGTGGTGATGTGTTACAGAGGCTGTGTGTCATGTTATCATCACCTAAGGAATACTGAATTTTGTTCTGGCAGGCAATTAAATTACCAACAGACCACCTGGATCCTTTTGGGAAGGGTCTATTTTGGTTGCTTCTGCTCTTTGTGTGAAGTTCTTACTCTAGGACACTGTCCTGTCTCTAGAGGGTGGCCTTTGTAGGGCCTCAACTGAATCCCAAGTGCATTCACCAAGATCTTCTGTTCTGTCTGGGCTTGAACTTCAGTGTCCCCCAGCACTGCAGAAGTGCTTCCATTTCTGATTACCCTTCAGATTCTCAGAAGCTGTCTTCTGAGGCTTCAGGGCATTGCCTTATATATATATATGTACACCTTAGGAGCTGACGAGGACCTGCGGGAAGTTTTGCTCAGATTTCTGGAGCTCCTTTTCGGCCACTCTCTCCTCTGCAGTACCCTGCTCTCCACATCCCAGCTTCCCTAGCAGCCCTAGCCAGATCCTGATCTTCATTTTCTCCTACAAAGGAGACGTGTTTTCTGCTAGGGGGCTGGAAATACCCTGTCTACCAGCACAGCAGTGGAGAGGATGCCCTCAGGGAAAGTGCTCCTTGTCTAGAGGACCCTACCCCTGATTGGTGTGTTATGTTCAGCTCCCACGGTTTTTTATTGCAGAAGACTGAGTCTAATGCCAGCTACTCCTTGGTGTCTAGGCCCTGGGCACTCTGTGTGTAGTGAAAATTCCCAGGAGTTCCTTCTCAAGCATGCAGTAAGCCCTGGTGTGTCCCACACCACCAGGCAGCCGGACTCCCTCCTTGACCTAAAATGTCATCTTTTTCTCTTTACACGCACTCTCAGACCTGATCTGAGGATGAGTGAGGCTGCCCGATGCCCCTGGAAACCTGATACCATGCAGCCCTCTGTGGGTCTCTGCTTCCTGGGCATGACCTGAAGTAGGCTCAGGCTCTGCACCCCTCTGCATTCTTCCCCCTCCCTCCCATGCTCAGCTCTTAGTGCTGGGTCATGATGTCCTTCCTTCTCTCACCAACTTATGAGACCCCTTCAGGGCCCCTCCTGCTAGGAAGACATGCCATACTCTTCTCATCTCCAGCGTGTCCCCTGGTGGTCAGCAGCCTTTTTGACTCATGAGGGGCATTTACAGGTACTGGGAGTTTTTAAGAAGTGTGAGGTGTCCCAAGACACAGATCCTTCTGAAAGAAAACAGGTGGCATCAGGACACCTGTCATAGGAGTGGGGCTTACTGCATGGGCCCAGCTGAAGGAGTAGTCCTGGCTCCACGCACAGGACTGGCTCAGAAGGCCTTTCTGGACCAAGACACAGGTCCTCTTCCGAGGACACCTGCTGTGGGATAGAGGGTACTCTGCTTCAGTGCCTCAGGCAATGGCTGGTCTGCAGCACTTAGGCATGGCCAGCCCTGGTGGGAGCAGCTGCAACGGCAAGTGACCACACTGGGGTTGGTAATGACCCCCTGTGGGGAGCACGCTTTGTGGATATTTTGGGGCACATGTGCAGGGAGCCCTCAGTACTATGGGACAGGGATGGGATCATGTCAGCGCTCTCTACAGTCAGTGGCTGCTTGGAAAATGCAGGTTCGCAGGCTCCACCCTAGAAATTCTATTTCTGTGCATCTGGGGGACTAAAGGGTTTGCCTGTTGACAGGGACCCTGGGTTGCTATGCCCTGGAGCTGGCTAGGGCCATATGCTGGTAAGCTTGTGCCTGGAGGGGAGCCCAGGGGGCCACTAGGATCTGTGTTTCAGAGCCTCGAGGCTGCAGTGATACTTCCAGACTTGTGGTAAATCTGCCATGCAGAAAGGTGAGAGGTGCAGGGCCGTGGCTACAGGAATCTCTGAATCCTGCAGTGCCAGCTGCAGTGTCCCTGGCCTGGCTGGGCTGGGCATTGTCCCCACCCACTACCTGAGGTTAGATATGCACTGCATTGGAAACAGCTCCCCAGAGTGAGGTTGACAGGATGTTTCCCTGGGGGGTGGCCAAGAAATCTCGGTGTTTCCAGCCTAACAGAAACTCTGGATGGGGGAGGCCAGTGGCTGTAGGAGGCTCTCTCTGGGACACTGCCTGATCTGTACTTAGGTGAGTCCCCTGGCCTGAGTGACCACAGCTTCCTGAGTTTTTGCCTGGGTGGGTCATGCAGTGGTGCTTGGGCGTATCACCTAACAACACATGTGGGGCCTCTCTGGGAGGTCTGTTCCCCGACCCCTACTTCAGGTCACGTGCCCAGTATCTCTGGAGATGGCGTCTGTGGGTCAAGGCTTTTAATTTCTTGTTTCTCCATGAAAGAAAAGTAATGTTTCTGAAACACCTGCACAAGAGTGTGGATGCCAGGCCAGGCTGCTTGTTACGATGTTTTGTGTTTGCCCCTTTGCTTTTACTGATTGACTGTGCTGCCTTGTTCAGCATTTCTGTGCTCAAGTAAATGGAAATTTGGCGATTAAGGTTTTCTAACGTGAATTCCATGATCTGGGCTAATTAGATACCTCATGTCTTCAGCACTGACTGACTCATTCATTAGCTCCTTTTAACTTTAAACAACACCTAAAGCAGCAGGGCCCTATTCTGCTCTGTAGTTTGAATACGTATTTCAAACCAAGTTGTTCATCCTGAGTCCCTGAAGACCTTGTCTTCTTGTCAACCTACTGCTGCCCCTGATGACACCCACAGCGCCCAGGTCTGTCCTTTGAACTTTGGGACGCTGCTGCGGGTCTGCCTGGCCTGTGCCCTGTGTACGGCACCCACCTCCTGGCCAATCGCATCCCTGTGGCACTGGGTGCAGCCTAGTGTTCCCAGTTAGGCAACAGCTGTGTCCCAGAAGGACTTCTGAAGCTGCTGTTCACACATTGAATGTAAAGAGCCATGTTTTCAGGAGGGGAGTCTACAGGAAGGCCCTACCCTTCACAGCCAGCCACCCTGGCTGGTCACAGGGATGCCTGGAGGTCAGTCTAGTTGGGTGCCTCCATCCTGCCATCTGGCCTGCTTGTCCTGGTGCCGTCACTGTACCCCAAAAGTCTCAGCTTGCAGCAAGGATAATAAAAGACAACACACCCCACAAATCCATGCAGCCAATCTATGTGCCTAGAGGCTGGCAGGGCCCTACCTGCCCACCCTGCCCCAGTGAGCGGTCAGGGTACTTTCAGGTCAGCTGCTATACCGTGGTATCCCTCACTGCCTCCATCTGCTGCCGGGGTGTGAGTGACTCTTTTCCCCTCTGCCCTCTGGGTAGTGGGAAACAGGAGCTCCAAGTGGCTTCTCCCAGCCCCCCTGCACCAGAAGCCCCTCAGGTCAGCTTGGGACGGCATGCGTGGCTGGATCCTTCAGGAAAGTGTCTCACCTGGCTGAGCAGGGGGTGGACACTGTCACTCAGCATGGTTGCAGCTCCAGTCAGCTGGCTGAGCGGGGGTGGGCGCCGTCCCTCTGCTCAGTGGTGGCTCTGGGGCTGGTTCAGAATGCTCCATTTTGCTTTGGCCTCAGACCCAAGCCAACAGGGCTGCACTGTGGGGGCCCCACCACGCCCATTTCTGTGGTAACCGCAGATCTGTGCCCTGCCTGCTGTGACTGTGTTCTGTTCTCCTTGTAGATGGAGGAGATAAAGTTTAAGGACAGAGCAGTCTTCGTGCTGGAGAGAGAGTTAGGGGTCCAGGCCGGCCACGCGCAGAGGCTGCAGCTACAGAAAGAGGCTCTAGATGAGCAGCTGTCCCAGGTCCGAGAGGCCGACCGGCACCTGGGCAGCCCCAGGCGGGAGCTCCCTCATGCAGGCGGTGCAGGAGACGCCTCAGACCACTCGGGAAGCCCTGTAAGCACCGCCCCAGGCCACCTGGCCCACCCGGCCTCACAGACAGGCAGGGCCACGCACCGCACAGCCTGCGAGGGCAGCTCCCCGGGGAGGCCAGAGCCCAAGTGCAGCTGACCCCTGTCTGAGTGCCCCCCAGCCAGGCCCCACCCCTCAGCTTATCTGCTTGTGGCCAGGAGGGCTGAAAGACGACACCTCCTTGCTCCTCACCACTGAGCACTGGCCCTGTCACCCTCCCGTGGGCCCCAGTCACTGGGGGTCCTGGCCCTTACTGGTTCTGTCCTGCCCTGGAACAGGCAAGGGGGCTGTCCTCCTCATGTGCTCCCTCCACCCCCTGGGCTCCGGCTCCCTGCGCAGCTCCCCGGCCAGGCCCCTCGTGTGGTGGTTCACAGCAGTCATGTCACCGGTCACCTTCCCACCTGCTTCTCCTCGACCACACCACTCCCTGCTCCCCTGGGCTGCTCACGGTGGTGGGGTCTGCATGGCTGTGGCGTCCATCGTGTCCTCATACAGGTTCCTCCGTGGTGGCTTTGGGATACCCTGGGAACCTACCTGCCATGGACCCTTAGAGCTGGTCTCTGGCCCTGGCCTCTCCTGCACCTGTTGACTGAGGAACTCAGGTCTCATCCAGGACCTTCCTGGACACCTGTTTCTTTGCTTTGAGGATACAATTCTATTTGGGCTGGGCCAGGCCTAGGACAGGGACATTTCAAAAATAGAAAAGGACGTTTTATAACTTATGATAAATGGATTGACTGAATTAGAGCCAGCCCCTCCTGCTCTGATACTCGATGGACTATTGCATTAACTCTCGAGAAATTTTGAAACTGGATTAAAATGTTTCCACTGATTTGTGAACCAAGTCTTGGTGGTTCCCAAGGTGACCCTTCAGAAACTCAATTTGAGTGGGCACACTGGGAAACCAGCTTTTGAAAGTCTTACACAGGCAGTTTGTCCTGTGTCCTGGCACAAGTCTGGAGAGTCATTCACCCGGCAAGGTAGCCCCTTCCTGCAGGTGCAGCCCCACAGAGCACAGTGGCTGCGGGTATCCCCGGCGTGACCCACGCCCGTGGCTCCTGCACCTGCATGCCCTTGCCCTCCATACTTGCACACTCTGGACAAATCTACTCCTTTCACTGTCCCCATCGTGCAGTCCGCAGGGACTGTGGTGCTGGGCAGAGCTGCCCCACCCAGCAGCCATGGGGCTCCAAGGCTATGATGGTGCGGAGCCTCTGGTTTCCATAGGGGGTCGGGGTTTGCAAGGGCTTTCCACATCTATATCTAGGAGCAGTTATTTGCAGTTGATTTTTGTTTTAGGAACAGCAGTTGGATGAAAAGGATGCCCGGCGCTTCCAACTGAAAATTGCAGAGCTGAGTGCAATCATCCGGAAGCTGGAGGACCGCAACGCCCTACTGTCGGAGGAGAGGAATGAGTTGGTGGGTGCAGCTTGTGGACCCAAGTCAAGGTCCCAGAATGGAGACGGGGCACATCCCCTTCTAGAATTCCCGTGGAAGGGAGGAACATGGTGACAAGGGCTGACCTTGACTCTGCACCTCTTGGCTGTGTTCCCATAAAACTTTACTAACAAAAACAGGTGGTGGGGGCTGGATTTGGCCCTCCAGGGATGGCTGTTGGATCCCTGCTCTGCATGGCTGGGAAAGTATCCTCTGCTCTGCACAGGCCCGGGAGGTGTGCAGACCCAGCCTTGGGGCGGGACTGACACCTCCAGTCCTTACAGCCATTGAAGCTTCTGAGCGATTTGAGCTCCTGGAGGGTGTGGGAACTACTCAGTTTGGAGAACGGCCTAGGGTGGGGGGTTTACTGCAGCTCTCCTCAGCAAGTACAACACTGGCCTCGGGCTGCTTCTCTTCATCCCCACCTGCCCCCTGGGGACACAGCCCAGCTGGACCTCAGGGTCACCTCGGTGCCAGGCAGGTGGACACCACCTGGCAGCCTGGACTGAATGTACCTCTTTCCAGGGCTGGAGCTCTGCTGAGCATGCCAACTCCAAGTGGACGCCTGTTGGTGCTCTGGCATCTGAGCAGACATCAAGTGGTGTGACTGACGTGTCTTTCAGTTAAAGCGTTTGAGAGAAGCTGAGAGCCAGTATAAGCCGCTGCTGGACAAGAACAAACGCCTCACTCGGAAGAACGAGGATCTGTCTCACACTTTACGTCGGATAGAAAACAAGTTGAAGTTTGTCACCCAGGAGAACATAGAGATGGTGAGGGCTGGGCCAGAGAGTGGGCCAGCGGCAGAGGCCGCAGCCCCTCATGTCTCTAAGTGGAAGAAGGGGGACAGCCGGGGGGCCAGGCCTCACACATGTGTGGGAGAGGAACCTGAAGCCGTCCAGGCCCAACTCTGAGGCTGCTCGTCTGCGCAGGGTGCAGGGAGACCCCAGGTCCCACGTGCAGTCAGGCCACTGCACCCGGTGTCCACCTGTCCCCTGTGACGTGGGCTGCTCCGTTTGCAGAGACAGAGAGCCGGGATTATACGAAGACCCAGCTCCTTAAATGACCTTGATCAGAGTCAAGACGAGAGAGAAATCGACTTCCTGAAAATGCAGATTGCTGATCAGCAGAGCCTCATAGACGAGCTCTCTAAGGTGACAGGGTGAGGGTGCTGGCCCTGGAGGTGGGGGGACACTGACAGCCAGCGGGAGATGAGGAAGGGTGGGCGTCTGTGGGGCCCCTGAGGCTGGGCCCTGGTGTGGCTGCTGCGCTAGGTGGTCTTTCCTGCGACCATCTGCACCCTCATCTCCAAGACTCCTCCCTCCCAGTGCCCTGGCCCAGTGGTGCCACCTCATTCCTGCACCTGCTGTGGCAAACCTGCACCCAAGGGGGCTGCAGCGGCCAGTTATCCACTCACAGCTCTGGAGGCCGCCAGTCCAAAACCGAGGTGTTGACGGGGCCATGCTCCCTCCTGTGTCCTCTCTGCCACCGTGCAGCCCCTGGTGCCTGTTGGCTCATTATGCCCATCTCTGCCCCACCTGCCTATGGCTTTCTCCTCTTCTGTGTCATGGGAACCTTGTCTGGGTTTAGGCCTCACCTCATCCAGGGAAGCCTTTGCTTAGTCACTTGCAGGCTCAGTTTCCAAGCCGGGTAACTTGCACAGGGAGGGAGAACAACTGTGACCACATCTCTTGGGAACACCATGTGGTCCACACTGCCCCCTGTGGCCCCTGCACCCAGCACAGCTCTGGGTATCCCAGTTTGGGGCACCTTCTGCATCTTGTTGGGGTCCTGATTGGCACTGTAGTGAGGACATCTCCAAACACGCTGCCCTCAGCTACTCTGTGTCCTCTGGAAGGGACAGCAGCATCCCCGTCACCAACACACACACTTGGGAGGCACTAGGCTGTCTTTTCAGTGACTAAAGCCACCACCAAAGAGCGATGGGATGGGACGCAGAAGGGCCCCTGCCCACCACGGCTGTGAGGCAGGGTCTCCCCACTGTGCTTCAGGGCTTTCCCTTGTTTAGTTCCACAGAGAGCCTCAATCTCAACAATAAGAGTTTATGAGGAACACGGGAAAGGGCAAGATCTTGGTCAATTGCAAATGCACAATATTTCTATTTTCAAGGCCTCTTTCTCCCTGCTGCTGAGTAAGCAAGTGGCCCATTCATTCACCTGGCGCTCTCCAGTGTTCCCCACACTCCTTGGGGCGCAGCTCAGGAGAGGAGGAAGGCAGGCAGGACACAAGCCTCCTCCTTGGGCGGGCGTAGGGTCAGGGTACGGCAGGGGCGCCGCCCCCACAGGGCCCTCTGGTGGGACAAAGCCTGCAGTGCTGGTTCCCTAACGTTCTATGTTCTTTTCCTAGACCCTGGAGACCGCCGGATATGTGAAAAGCGTGTTAGTAAGTGCCCATCAGCGTCTCCCCACTGCCCCATGCTCCCCTTCCCTGTGTGAACCATGTCCTGTGCTTCCATGTGCCCCGTGTCCCATACTCGTGTTCCCCATGTGGTTGACCGTGTGCCCATTCTGTGCCGGCGGCGCCTCAGACTAGGCCTAGTCTTTTGGACAGATCTGTTGTCATCACAGCACTGCCTGACCAGGCTTTGGTCTGGTGACTGAGAATGCCCCCAGTATGGTCCCAGTGGGGACAGAGTGCTGATTATTCTGTTCAGCTCTGAAAGGCCAGATCAGACAGCCACCTTGTCTGGGAGCTCGCTCTATGCGGTCTCTCCCTGGCTGGCACGGACAGGCACCTTGGTCTGGCCGGTTAACTGTCAAGGTCACAAAGGTGCGGCATAGCTTCCCTGGAGAGAAGCAGACCCCTGGCCCCCACACAGGTGTGAACCGTTCCTATAGGGCACTGAGGGACCTGGGCCTCAGTCCTCCTCGGACTTGTCATGCCTGTCTGTACCCCTCAAACCGCCTGCCTCTGCAACTCACAAAGGAGGGGAGTGGGTGGCCCTGTGAGCAGAGCCTCAGCCCTGCAAGGAAGGGCTCCCAGGCTGCCGAGCAGCCCTGCCAGGGGCCTGTGTTACAGTGTGTGAGCCACTAACCCGGCCGGGCCTGTCTGCGGGTCAGCCCAGATGATGACACAAAACATCAGAGAGTGGCTCTGAGACTGGGAGAGCATCCCCCGACTTAAATCTCTTCAACTGGTTTCTACAGGAGCGTGATAAGCTTTTAAGATACCGGAAACAAAGAAAGAAAATGGCAAAACTCCCCAAGGTAAAGTGCAGCATGTGGCACACACGTATATCAAATGGGTGTTTTAAAAAGCTGCTTACCAGGGGCAGCGCCTGTGGCTCAAAGGAGTGGGCTGCTGGCCCCATATACCAGAGGCGGTGGGTTCAAACCCAGCCCTGGTCAAAAACTGCAAAAAAAAAAAAAAAAAAAAAATGCTTACCAGGAATGAATTCTTCCTTTGGAGGTGAAAAGAAGTAATTTGTATTATTTCTAAAAATGTTATTGTGAAATAACCAAAACAGGATCTAACGTAAATGTCTGCTTATAATTTTAAGTTAAAAAATTCAACCTTCTTTGGCTCAGCGCCTGTAGCTCAGCAGCTAGGGTGCCAGCCACACACACTGGAGCTAGCAGGTTTGAATCTAGCCTAGGCCTGCCAAACAACAATGACAACTATAACCAAAAAATAGGGGGCGCCTGTAGTCCCAGCTACTTGGGAGGCTGAGGCAAGAGAATCACTTAAGCCCAAGAGTTTGAGGTAGCTGTGAGCTGTGACGCCACAACACTCTACTGAGGTCAACAGCTTGAGACTGTCTCAAAAATAAATAAATAAATAAGTAAAAATCCAACCGTATTCTTTTAATTTCTGAGAAAAGATATGAATTCATGATAACAATACTGACAATAATACTGATAATACTGATACTGATAATACTGATGTTGGAGAGGAACACTGGCCTGGGGGCTGAGCTCCCTGTTGCCTGGGAGGCACAGCTGGGCTCCCACATCTATGGACATATAGCTTAGCCTGGGGCTGTTCCTACTTATCACTGCACTATGCCCAGTGAGGGCCTGTCCCAGACATTCACTGTCCCCAGCCACTCTCGCAGGCTGTGTCCACAGCCCCTGTGGGCAGACCTGCATCTCTAGAACATTTGAAGGCCTAGAGGAATTTCCCTGCGATAAGGTGCTGGCCTGTGACTGTCCGTGAACATGATGGGGCCCAGTGAGGCCTCAGCAGGAGGCTGCTTCAGGAAGTTAGGCAGAGGGTGTCCAGTGGGAGGACAATGGGATGATGAGGGTGACAGGAGTAGGCTGGGCTGGTGTCCTGGCTAAGACTTGATAATCAGAGGCCAGAGGGGCTGACATTGGGGCTTGTTGAGTTTGCCCGATTTTGGAAATTTCCCTGAGAAGTCTGGAGGAAAACTGGAGAACTAGGAAATGTTTCTCTGGCCAGGGCTGGACCCTAAAACTGCAAGCACAGGTGGCTGCTTCTCCCACAGCCCCATGGGGTTGGTGCCTGGAGGATGCACACAGGAGATGGGCCAAGGCTGGCTTGGGGGCTGCAGGGTATCTTGGGGCCCAGGAGGAGTTTTGCTGGAAGGTTCTGATAGAGAGACCATGAGGGAGACCTGGGGCTGAGAAAGGAAGGGGACCCTGAGTGTGACCGAGAAAGGTGGCAGGACTTTGGATTTTGTGACATTTCTAAACCTAAGTGAGGAAACCTGAGGTTTTTGAAAGCAGGGCATAAGGAGAGGTGGGGGCACAGACGTAGGTATGAGTCTGGGGACCCTGAAGCAAGGCCTCACAAACTGGGGTGGGGGACTCATATTCCATTATGTTTTCATTGTGATCTGTCAAGAATAGATACTTTTTAAATGAAAACAAAAACACTTTATTGGAGATGTGACCACACCTCAGGGCCCATGCTCACCGTCCTCCTGGGGTATCCCACTGGGTGCCAGTGGCAGACGGTGACCGTGGTTCTCAGAGAGCAGCAGAGACCTTGTCCCCTAGAAGGTCCCCCTCACCAGGAGGGTCAAGTCTAGGACTGGCTTATCTATAGGCCTGCAGCCCTGCCCCCTGCCTGAGGCTACCACCTGGACAGCTCGGGGGCTGTAGACAGAGATGGGGCTGGGCCTCATGGCAGGGGATGGGGAGAGGAGGCAGAGTGGGCAGAGGCCGGGGCCCAGGCTTTGCTGACTTGCTGCATCTCTGTCTGTCACAGCCAGTTGTCGTGGAGACCTTCTTTGGCTATGATGAAGAAGCTTCCCTGGAATCCGATGGCTCTTCCATCTCTTATCAGACGGACCGGACGGACCAGACCCCATGTACCCCAGACGATGACTTGGAGGAGGTAGCTTGAGTCTTGCTGTGGTTCTCGCACCTGCCATGGAGTGTCTGTGACAGGGCCAGCCCTGGGGGACACCAAGATAGGGTGGGGTGTGGGGTGGGTAGGGACCTAGTCATTTGCATGGTGAGAAGCGCTGCCTGCAGTACCCAGGCTCAAACCATGGCCACTATGCTCCTTCCCACCACCAAGCTTTGCCTTCTACAGAGGGGTACAGGGCTCCAACAGGAGGTCAGATCCAATGCCCAGACCACATGAGGGCAACAGAGACATTTCTTTCTGGTAAGGAAATGGCCAGCCTCTTCCAGACTAGTCACTCTCCAGTCCAGGCAGCTGTCTCAGCACTGGGGGCCAGAGATAGTGCTTAATGTTGTAGGTCTGGGTCCAACTGGCCAGCTCCAGTAGTGGTGGCCCCTGGCCTGACTAGACCTAGAGGCAAGGCCAGGGATTAGGCCTCCCCAGGTTGGTGCTGGAAGGCAGCCAGATGGCTGTGGCCCTGCCTAGAGATCCAAGACATGGTATAGCAGCCCTGGGGCATAGGGTGGGGAAGGGACCAGGGCCAGTCCCAGTCTCCAGGCTCTGTCACTCCTGGGCATGGCCCACCCTTCTAACCTCAGGGGTGCACTGGGGTCCCCTGAAGGCAGCAGCAGACCCACCTCCCTTTCTCTGGTCTGGCAGGTGTCATCCTAGCCAGAAGGCCGAGGCTGTGGGTGCTAGCCTGGAGTGCATGGGCCTGAGAGGAGACGTGTGGCCCTGGGGACACAGCCAGCTCTCTTCCCTGGGCACATGTCAGTGGAACAGAGCAGACCAGTGTGTGGGCCTGGTCGTGCATGAAGGGTGCCAGCCCAGCCCCATCCCTGCCCCATCCCTGCCCCAGGGCTCGCTTTCCTGCATGCTGCAGGGAGTTTCTTCACTTTGATAGGAAGACTCCCTGAAGTAGCTGGGAAGCTCAATGGCCCCATGGTTTGTGGGTGCTGAGGGCCAGCTGTGACACTGTGTCCCTGCATGTGTCATGTCCACACCCCTCCAGGGCATGGCCAAGGAGGAGACAGAGCTGAGGTTCCGGCAGCTGACCATGGAGTATCAGGCCCTACAACGTGCCTACGCCTTGCTGCAGGAGCAGGTCGGAGGGACCCTGGACGCAGAGCGAGAAGTTAAGGTCTAACTGACTTCTACTCCACGACATTCCGGCTGCATCTGGCTCCTTCCTGTCTGACCCCATGGCCCTGGCAGGGACACCTGCACCATCACCCCTCCTGGCCAAGCCCCTCTCTTCTGTGGTCTCTTTAGGTCCTGGGGACACTCACTGAGCACAGAGACCAGGGCTGGGCTGAGTGGGGAAGGGTGAGGAGAGCCCAGCAGTGAGAGTGAGGGTCCTGGAGAGTCCAGTGGTGGTGCCCTAGGACCTGCAGGGCAGGGGGAGTCAGGTAGCTCCCAGGGTTGGGAGCATGGAGATGGCCAGGCCCGTGTGTGAACATTTGCCAGGCTTGCTGAGATTGTTCTCACTCAGCAAATGTTGAGCTCAGATGCTGTGCCTGCTTCATCCTGAGCCTGCCCTGCCCATGTCCCTGCTTCCCTGGACCAGCCCTGGGCGTTGGCGGCAGAAAAGCCCAAATGCACAGCTGGCTAGCGCCATCTGCTGGCTGCAGGGGCAGAGTGGGCAACAGGCCATGTGGGGAGTTCCTGGGTAAAGGGTCCCCCTGGGTCAGGGGCCCCTGCTGCAGGAGCTGCATCTTGCAGGGAGATGAGTGAATCCCTCGGGGCCTTCCGGAACTGGTGGGGTGGGGTCTGGGGTTCCAGTCAGGGCTGTCCCCCCAAACCACCTTGCAAGACCAGAGGCACCACTGTCCTGCAGCTTGGGCCAGATGGAGGACATGCTGCTTGGGATGATGGACGGTGGCGGCTGAGCACCCCAGCAGTGTCCATCCTGGGTTCTGCAGGGAGTCACCGGGCCTCACTGTCTGTCCTCTCACCCACTGGCATGACTCAGTTTCCCCTCCTGCCTTCCTGGGCATTTCCTTGAGGGCATCTGTGTGAATGTCAGCAGAAAGTCCCGCCCTCCCCTCCCAGCCCTCCTGAGTGTGCCTGTCCCAGGAGGCAACTTCCCCTCCTTGGTTTAGAAAGGAGGTTCATCAGCTCAGCAGGGACTTGAAATGTCCCCTCTTTGAGTTTTTTGACAACTTTTGCACAACCCTTGGAGAAAGAAAAAAATCAAGTCTCTGTTCAGATGGTCATAAATCCCAGGGGTATGTGGGGTGTGACTGGCCAGAGCATGACTCCCGCACACGGGAGGCAGTGCAGGGCCTCAGTGCTGGGTCCTTTGGGACCTACAGGAGACTCTTGTTTCCCTCTCACCACTGGCTGACAGGGAAACACCTGATCGAGGGCAGATGGAAACAAAGAACCTACAAGATTTTGCTAGAGAGTAAAAAAGTCCAAACTATATTTAAATTTTTTAAATGGCATTTAGAATTAGAGAGAAATCTGATGCAGAGAAGTACAATGTGATTATTTTAAAACTTAGAAAACACAGACAAGATTAGTGAAGAAAATAGATAACCCAGGAGTCCAGGCAGCCTGACTCTGTGTTAAAGCTGGAAGTGTCACCCTCACTGCTCAAGTCCAGGAGCCCACAGGGATCACGGAAGGGCAGAGACAGGGCCATGAGAGGCATCTGATGGTGTGGCAGGGGCTGTGGGCAGCCCTGGTCCTGCAGAGGCTTGGTGTCCTCATCTGGAAATACAGGGCTGGGACAAGCTGGCACCGCCCGTGCTCTGCATCCCTTGTGGGTGGGGGAGCAGGTTTGGTGGGGAGAATGGGAGCCCCAATCTGCACACGGGGCCTAACAGGGCCCCAGAGCTCAGTGCACTGCCACAGGCCCTCCTTGAGCTGAAGGACTCTCAGGCCCTGTGCCCAGCTGCCTCCAAAGGCTACCCCACCCATGGGTCTGGGAGCTGTCCCCAGAGAGGGCAGGAGAAGCACTGGGGAGAGATGCCTGGCAGTTTGGACCCCACCAGAGCAAATTAGTCAGGGAGAGCAGCTCAGCCCCCAGCTAGGAGCCCAGGTGGCACTCAGAAGGAACTTCACAGACCAAAGTGCTGACACCTGCAGTGGGGGGCCTTCCTCCAAAAGGGGAGCTGGGGATGCAGGCTTAGCAGTGAGCCCCGGCCAGCAGGGTGCTCCTATGATGGGGGCACACCCTGTAGAGACCCCTGCTGTGCACCACTGTCACCCAAGGAGGCTAAAGCAACCCTCTCTAGCCAGGACAGGGCTCAGTCCTCATTGGCCGTTTCAGCCTGTACCAGGGATTCACCTGACACGCGCTCAAAGTAACCTGTAGGGTCTCCCATAAACTAAGCAAGATCACTGCTTCCAACACGCCTTAAAATTCTACCTTTCCCAGAAAGCCTTTCTTCCAAGGGAATGAATCGTCACTTGTCAAAGAGCTGAACCAGAGCAGACAGCGTCCTGCAAGGCCTGTGAGGTGTGCTGCTTGTCCGCACCTGGCTTTTAGGGAAAATTTGATGTATCTTTCCTCATCCTACAGACGCGTGAGCAGCTACAAGCAGAAGCGCAGAGGGCGCAGACGCGCATAGAGGACCTGGAGAAAGCCCTGGCGGCGCAGGGGCAGGTGCGGGGACCGCGGGGGCGGGGCCCGGTGTGAGTGGGCGGGGCCCGGGGTGAGTGGACTAGAAGCTTTCACCGTGGCAGTGCTTTCCGGAACCAGCGGCGTATGTCTCTAGGAATCCCGGCCCAAGCTTTGTGTAGGCAGGAATCTGCTCCATCATGGGAACAGGTCTCATAGACTTAGAACCCTGGTGGTTCTCTCGGCCGCCAGAGGGAAGCGCCCAGAGCCACTTCTGGCAGGAGCCACAGACTGTGATCTGGCTTCCCCGGAACCCCTCCTCCACGCTCACACGCACCCTGGAGGCGGCTCTCCAGGTTGCCCAGAAGCTGGTCCTTCCCTCCCCTCCCTCAGTGCAGCCACCCTCTTTTGGTTATTCAAGGCCATGCCTGTGGCCTCAGGGCTGGAGCAGCCTCTCCAGACCTGCTAGGCCCTAGATGGGGCTGAGGATGCCCTTGCGGATTGGGGAGGGCCTGTGAGAGCCCGGCCCATGGCTGTCCATGATGTTAACTGTAGGAATGACAGACAAGAGGATGGTGTGACCCCCAGTTGTACCACGCTGGCACCTGTAACCACCCCCGGGGCGCTGCACATACAGGCCTATGGGAATGGCACCCCCACTGCTCTGTATGCGGCTCCCAAGGACCAACAGGCCCTTCCCCAGCTGTCAGGGGACAGAGCAATCCCTAAGACATACGAGATGCTTAAGTCCTCTCACAGATGCTACTGTGTGTGCTGGAGAAGAAAGTGGCCGGGTGGCTGGGACATGGGTGGGTGTGGGGGGGACAAGGACCAGGACGAGGACCAGACTCCCTTCATTTGCAGAAATGACCCCTTTAAATTTGCTGAGAATTCCACAGATCACTTTGGAGAGAAGAAAAGTCTGATAAGTCCACTGTCTGAAGAAACCAGCTTTCCTCCTGGCACTCTATATTTAACAACGTAGGGGTCTGAAGCATGCCTGTGATCCCAGCACTCTGGGAGGCTGAGGCAGAAGGATGGCTGGAGGCCAGGAGTTAGAGACCAGCCTGATCAAGAGCAAATCCCCATCTCTTCCAAACATAGAAAAATTAGTGGGGTGCAGTGGCACGCACCTGTGATCCCAGCTACCCAGGAGGCTGAGGCAGGAAAGTCAGCGGTAGTGAGCTATGATGACACCACTGCACTCTAGCCAGTGCTACAGAGCGAGATCCTGTCCGAAAACCTCCCCCAACCTCCTAGATCACAATGTTGCTGGTTGGAGGATGGATGTGAGGGTTCTTGGTAGAAGAATGTGCTGAGGGTACTGGGTTCCTCCCAAGGCAGAGGTCAGTGGCCGTCAGCGAGGCCTCCACATGTGCTGGGCAGACAGTGCAAAGCCACTTTGCCCACTTGTCTGCCCACCACAGGAGAGTCTCTTCTCCCCCCCACTGAGATCCTCTCCCTGCCATGGACCCCCGATCTCTCAGTGGCCCCTGAATCATGACATCCTCATGTGCCACTAGGCACTCTGCAGTGTCCTCAAGGGTCTCTCGAGGAAGGGCAGCCCCTTCCTGCTCTTTAGGACACTCCAGAAGATGGACACATTTGAAGCTGTGTGTCTGGTTCCGCCACATCAGTTTACATGTTGGCTCCATGGTTTCTGCCCTATGTTTATCTCTTCATTTCAATTCTGTTTTCAAGGACATGAAGTGGATCGAAGAAAAGCAAGCGCTGTATCGAAGAAATCAGGAACTCGTAGAAAAGGTGAGCCCAGAGCCCCACCTGAAACCAGCAAGACCTGTTCCGTGGCGGGGGTAGGGCCAGTGGGGCTGAAGGGGGCTTCAGGCACAGGCTCCCTGATGGCTGTGTGAGCCCTTCCATGCCATGCACACTCGTGGGAGCCCCTCAGGAGCCCAGGGCCCCGCCATTCCCCCTCTGCTCCTAGAGTCGAGATGGCCTGGCACACTGAGCCTGTGCATTTTCCAAGGACACTGCCCATCTCTCAGCTCAGGACAGCTGTTTCCATAGACACTCGCACCCCTAAATGCTAGTGTGCGCATCTCAATGTGTTCATACTCAAACACATGCATGCTTAAATCCTCTTGTTCACAAGCATGCACACTCAAATGCTTGTGTGTACATTTACTTGCATGCACACAGTCGCTTGCCTGCACACACAGTCGCTTGCGTCCACACATAGTCACTTGCATACACACAGTCGCTTGCGTCCACACATAGTCACTTGCATACACACAGTCGCTTGCGTC